CTCACTAATTCTGTGACGATCGGTATTCTATATAATCTTTAAAGTTTGAATACTCCTCGTCCTAATAACGATGTGGAAATCAGAAGATGAATATGAAGCGTTAATTACGTTTATTATCGCACTACACACACACACACAGATCACCAAAATCACATGCATACAAGAGAAAGAATAAGTTATGTAGGCTTATCAGATTTGTTTAAATAAAATATTCCCTCATGGGAAAATTTAATGAATATAAGTCAGTCTAATAGGTGTCTGTGTGTGTGTGTGTATTTTTCTCTTGTGTAGAATCGATGCAGATACAGATAAAACGTTTTTCCCATTCATCGAAACTTATTGTTTAACATGTAGTAGTCTACAATAAAATGAAAGATTTTAATAGAGATTATTATGCTAGAAAAAAGATCGTAGATACACACTGCTGAAGAGTCCTATAGTAGGACGAAATAGCCGTCTAGTGCTTTCAATGTTTTCAATGGTGGTATGGCTAAGATCAACACATGAATTTAACTATTGGACTATTATGTGTAGGAAACGTGAAATATACTGAATTCAATTCATTGTACTGGTCTACCTCTGGTCAGGTGATTAAGCCCCTTGTAGAAAATAATAAAACAATACTTGTTTTTTGTATTTTTAATCTTTCTTCAAGTAATATCAAATTTTAATGATAAATCCTTTTATAGAGTTCAGATCACGAATCAATTAAAGCTAGACCACTATGAAAAAACCTGGAACTACTAGACTGCCTTTTCGTCTTATTATGGGACTCCTCAGCAGTGCGTATCCACAAACCTGCACTCGCGAGATCCAAACCCCAGGACCTACCAGTCTCGTGCTAGAGCACCTAACGAATAGACCACTGAGACGGTATCTAACGGTGTTAATGTCTAACTTCAGCTAATCCACGAAATTAAGCAACCGTCACCAACACCGTCTCACACTAGGACGAATCGGCCATCCAGTGCTTCCAGGTTTTTGATGGTGGCCTAGCTTCAATTGACTAATGATCTCAACTCTATAAAATTACTAAAATCTTCACCAAACCCCTTCTGATAAATCCTTTTTAGTTAAACTAAAAACAAAAAAACACATTTTACTGTATAACTTACTAACTGAAAATTCAAGTGTAATTTCGCAATAAATTACACTAACAAAATGAAATCCCAGTTGTTAAGTCAATTATTTTAAACTTTTCACACGAATGACTTAATTTTTATAAAAATCAACTCAATTGTCTGGGTGGTGTCAAAATAAATTAACAAAATCTTTTCTTTGTACTTTTTTCATTTCAAGTAGTTTGGTAAATTATACAAAATTTATTTGCGGGCTTACGGATTACGCTGTATAAGTGAATGTTACAATCAAGTAAATTCTGTAATGGAAATAATCACCAATAATGAGAGTTGTGTATGGTTTTATGACTTATGAAATGGAGTTCTCATCAGATCTATAAGCCAATTATTTTCTAATTATCGATGTATTCATCTAGATTTTTCTATTGATGATTAATTATAATCAATTAATTATATTTCACATAGTTGAGAACATTAGTCAATTGAAGTTGATTCATAATCTTAATCAAGGAAATAACTTAACAATCTTCACAACCCCATTATCATGAGAATCATTTTATTATCGGTTTTGTAAATCAACTGTTTATATCCATTGATATTCGTTATTCTATGTCGATTCATCTAATTGATTCAATACACAAAAATACATTTTAAGTAAAGATGCATATTGGTTAGCAGTAGAATTCAGGACAAGTGTTTTGTCCTACTTGAGTCTTTTCAGCTAGATATACCGGCATCTCATAACCGATGTGTCATTCTGGAATTCGAATCCAGTACCATTTGCTTTAAACGCCATCTTATTAGCTACTTACCTACTGAGTCCTGATAGGCAATTGCATGTGCAATGGGATGAAGTTTAAATTCAATTTGTATTGTTAACTTCAATCTTCCCATTGATGTTTAGCACTGCAAAATGATCAGTCTCTCATTGGCACATGTGCATACGGTGCGCATTGTATTAATTCACAAGCATTATTATCCAACTGACAAGTTCAAAATAGGACGAAACGTACGTCAAACTGGATTCCACTGCTAGCCACTAACCATATTTACTTAGTGTTAATAAGACGCAATAATTTTTATTCATTCATTATTCATAATAAGAAATAGAACTATTAGCAGTTTCCTATCTTAATGAATCTTAAATAATGAAATCATTTTACATAAATCTATTAAACAAGTAAAAGTTATGTCAATAGTCAATTAATTCAACAAGTTTCAAACCCACCCCCCTCCATCTATCCAAAGGAAATACGTAAACTCAAACTCTGATAAATATGATTACCTTCTTAGATATGAAATAGCTTATAGTTCTAATCAAAACCTTTTCCACAACATCATATAGTCTGTTAGACTCTTTTGAGCTAACAACATCGATCATCAATACTTGTGTTATCCAGTCCTGGTTCGGTTCCTCTGTTTGGATTGTACACGCTAAGATAGGTGAATGACTAAGCGAGATATACAATCTTTTGTTCGTAGAGTTATAGATACATTAATATATTAGAGCTTGAGAATTCGATATTATTTATATATAGTTGAAATCATGAGTCAATTAAAGCTAGACTACCATGGAAAACCTGGAATTATCTGACGGTTTTTTCATCTTAGTATGGGACTATTCAACAGTGAGCATCCATGATCTCTTGCGAGACCGAAGGTCCTGTGTTTAAGTTCCTCGTGCGGGGTCGTGAATGCGCACTACTGGGAAGTCCAATAATCGGACAAAACAACCGTTAGATGCTTCTAGTTTTTCAATGATGGTCTAACATTGATCAATTCATTGTCTCAGTAAAGTTTCATTATATTGGTAATGGTTTGTAATATCCTGTAGTTTATATTCAGAATGAAATTTTATTCACTGAGTATTAAGATACCTGAATCCTATGCAGAATGCGTTGATCAAGACGTTTTGTCATAAAATTAGAATTCAAAGAAACAGATACTAGAATGAAGTCCCACAGTCAACATTAAAACTAAGTCCCATGAATATACAAACGACAAGTTAAAGATACGATAAATTTAAATGTGTAACACTCAATTACGTCATCAGGTATTAGTTTATCACATCTTATCTCTATTACAACTTGTCTTCATTGTCTTAGCATAAAAGTTTAAAACAACTTAAGATTTTATCGAATTGCTATTATTGAGAAAAAAGAGATCTATTCCAAACTATATACATTTTATACAAAGATAGAAGGTAGCTGGTAGTGGAATATAGGACACGTGATTTTTTCCTATTCACAACTTATCAACTGAATATACCTGCATCCTACAGTGTTGATGTCCACTCTAGGACTCGAACTAAGTACCGTTCGTTTCAAACTCTTTAAATCCGTATTTGCTTATAATATTTGTGAATTAAGGTAATTTATTATAGTTGAAAGCGTGAGTCAATTGAAGCCAGACCACCATGGAAAACCTGGAAACACTGGACGGCCGTTTCGTCCTATTATGGGACTCCTCAGCAGTGCGCATCCACGATTCCGCTCTCGCGTGCGAGATTCGAACCCAGGACATACCAGTCTTGAGCCGAAGCCCTTAACCGATAGACCACTGAGCTGGCATCCAACGGTGTTAATGTCTAACTTCAACTGATCCACGAAGTTGAGCAACCATTCACCAATTGTCTTCAGTGAGTTCCTATCTCACAACAGACGTGGTTTTGAACTCCACAGGTCACTGCTTCTCACTAGAGCTCCTAGATATACTTCTCGAGGTCACTAGTGAGCATATGATTATATTAATTATAGTAAGGGTTTTGCAGAGGTTTAGTATTTATTATAGTTGAAAGCGTGAGTCAATTGAAGCTAGACGGCCCGAGACTGGTAGGTCCTGAGTTCGAATCCTGCGAGTGCGCGATCGTGGATGCGCACTGCTGAGGAGTCCCATAATAGGACGAAACGGCCGTCCAGTGTTTCCAGGTTTTCCATGGTGGTCTGGCTTCAATTGACTCACGCTTTCAACTACGAAAATACTAAATCTCCACAAAACCCCTTCTATAATTAAGGTAATATCAAGTTAATCCATACAGTATGCGCATATGCCAATAAAAGATTGATGAATTACAGTCCTAAATATCAATCAAAAGATTCCATTAAATAATACTAAGTGAATGAAAACATTGTAATTACATAGCAACCATATTCATTACTACATTGTATAGTACATCAGCTTATATTCATAATACTCAACATCTATACCCAAAAAATACTTTTAAATCTTAGTTCTATAACAAGTTTAAAACACCACTGAATATCTTGAATCTCTCTAATCAACTTAATCCTAAATACAGCAGAAATATTTTCTTTACAAGATACAAATCATTATTTATGAATGCCCTCAAATGCCCTGGTACGTCCGAGAGTGGTGAGGGTCCACCCTCTCTCTCTCGAAATGCTCTCACACGGTCACGCGTATAAAGGCTCTACCAGGGAAGTCCTACTCACTGCCTTTTCTCAACTGAGATGTTGTTTAAGAAATTGAGAGGACGAAAAGTAAATGTCCGGCACTTTAACCGGGTTGGTGAACATGGAAAATTCATCTAGGGTAGTTGGAAAACCCTGGTCCCAAACCAACCCTGCAAATGGGCTCTAGTGTCCTAAGGAAACAATTTGTGTATGAACCAATTGTTGATCACCGGCTAACAGAGGACTGCATCTACTTACGATGCTTCACTGCCTTGTGGATCAGACCTTTAGGTCAAAAGCTCGAGGTGTGGCCCCCCTAATGAAACCACCTGCTTCAGTTTGGGCACCCGGGCAGTATCCCAGCCTTCATACATATCAAATAAGATTTGTGTGGCGCATATACATCTGGTGCCCCCTTTGTACCAATATTTATGTGTTCTAATAATAATAATAATTTATAAAATCATTCAATTCACTTCATATACACATATATACATGTATAACTTACTTATAATAGTTAAAATAAACATTAACACCACATATGTGTTCATTTTGTTGTTGTTATGATTGTTGTTTTCTTTTTTTCTTCTTCTGTTTACTTCTTGTTTGTTTTTCTCTTTTCCTTAATTTACTTTGTATTATTCAATATAATTTTAATTCTTGTTGCTAAGTGAAAAATTTACCCCCAAAATTTTTGTATTTATAGAGTGGGAATAAAGTTTTTTTCTTTTTTCTAAAAAAAACAAACAAATAAAACAAAACTGTTGTATTATTGGTTTATTTCAATTTGAAAAATGATTCCACCTTCGAAACTGAAGCTTCTTTTCCTGAATCGCCAGAGAGAGAGAGAGAGAGAGATAGTTTTTTTGTTGATTCATATTTTCAACACCAAAAAAAATTGTTGCTAAAAAATTAATTTGATTGGTTGAAAATAATAAAAAAACTTTTTTTTGTGGGGGGGGGGTAGAAAATGATTTTAACCAATCAGAATTGAAGGATTTATAATTTTTTTAATTGAAAATTATTTTTTTAAAAATTTGATTATTAAAATAATAATCATTAAATCTGATTGATATTTCATGTTTTCTGATTATTTACTTTCTCCTGGTAACCCTCATGAAGGAGTATAGGTCAGTCACCAAACATTCTCCAACTAATTCTATCGTTGACAATTCTTTCTAGTTGTTATTCAGCTTCTATTATTATTAGCTTTATTCAATATTATAATTTTTTTGGTACAATATAGAATTCTCAGCACAAAGTACTTCAACAAATTTCCGTTTCTTACTTCTTCATTCTTCCTGACGATAAATATTGAGTGATCACCAATTAGAAGCTAGCGGTCAAGTCAATCGACATCTGGATAATGTACATTCTTGTCGCTGCATATTGTCACAAACCACGATATCTCTAATTGAGGCCTTCTGTAACCTTTACAGCGAAAGGTTTTACACTTTTCAGAAATGCACTTGAATAGGTTGTGCGATTAATAGGCATAATGATTTATTAAAACAAACGAAATTGGATAACTTGTTGAAATATCTAGAAGATAGGAACAGGTAGCCCAAATGTTTAATAAGGCCACCAATATTTTGCGTATGTGTTTTTCCAATTCACTATACAGTGCGTTCTTTGACCTTTTACTTTTTTGTTATCCTTCAGGATTTCAAGTTAGACCCTGAATCATGATGTAGTTTGATGAATATGATTCTGTAACAGTAAATAATATCCCAGAGTTCTGATAGGAAGCTTAAATCAGTTTTTCAACTGATTCAACGGTTAACGATTTCTCTATCATAGTAGATCAGTTGAAAAATGAATAGATATACTCCATGATTCTTCATTGGGAATTCATATGATGAAGATGACAGTCAAATAGTGTATACATTATACTTACTTACTTACGTCGGTTACCACTCATGTAGGAGCATAGACCACTCACTATCATTCTTCATTCAACTCCAACCTAAACAATCCATTACAGGTCTTTACATTTGCTATTAATCTTTTCCGTGCCTGCTCCCGATTCTTGACGTAGTGTGTTCTTCGGCCTTTCACTTTTCTTCTTCATTTCAAAATTCCAAGTTCGTGCTTGCCCCTTAATGCAGCTAGATGACTTCCTTGCTGTATGTCCGATCCACTTCTAGAGACCTTTTCTAATTTCCTCTTTAGATCAAAGCTGGTTTGTTTTCTCTCACAGTATACTGTTGTTGATGATATCCAGCCAACGGACAATTGTTTATAAATACTTGTACCTTATTGACGATTGTTGCGGTAGTTGTTCAAATGTTGGCTACATACGATAGAACTGTCTTTACGTTCATATTGAAGATTCTGAATTTGACATTGGTTGACAGTTATTTACAGTTCAACATGTTGTTCTCTAACTGTAAGAATGCTATACTTGCTTTTCTAATTCTCGCCTTTATGTCTGCATCCCATCCTTTGTGTTCATCGATGATGCTGCAGGCCAGTAACGTGAAAGAATCCACATCTTCCAGAGTTCCTCCATCAAGTGTGATTGGATTGGTGTTCTCTGTGTTGTATTTGAGGATCTTGCTTTTTCATTTGTGTATAATGAGGCCTACTGATGTGGCTGTTGCTGCTACACTAATTGTCTTCATCTGCATTTGATGATGTGTATGGTATAGAAGTGCCAAGTCATCTTCAAAGTCCAAATCTTCTAATTGATTCCGATCTGTCCATTGTATTCCGTGTTACCTCTCAGATGTCGAGGTCTTCATAATTTAATCGACCACCAGAAGAGAAATGGAGAAAGTAAGCAGCCTTGTCTGATTTTGGTCCTCATTTGGAATATGTCTGTCAGCTGTCTTCCATTTACTATGTAAACAGATTAGTTGGAACTTAATTTCCTGCATGGATTGATATCAATCAAGAGAAAGTTATCTCCTGATGGTGGTGGTAGTAGTGATGGTGGTGTTCCAGCTAGAAACATCTGCTAAAACTTATCAAGGATCAGATACAATAGATTGAGTAATCGGTTCGGTATCTGCGACTGCCTTAGTTGGCTAGTAAGATTACCCCCATTATCAAGCAGAGCTAAGAGGAAGGTCTTAGATCGGATTTTGTTGCCGTGATAAATATGATTTGTATATATATTCAATAATGAATTTCATGTTCATTTAGTTCTTAGTGTGTTGATTATGAGACTCTGTCAGGGAATTCCTACTCATTGTCTTCTCGTGGCTGATGTGCTGTTTACGAAATTGAGAGGATGAAAAGCGAATGTACAACGCTTTAATCGGCTTGGTGGATACACCTAGGAGAGTTGGAAAACCACAATTCCAAACCAATGGTGTACATGGGCTCCAGTATCCTGAGGAAACAAATGGCTTATGATTTAATCGTTGGTCACCGGCTACCATGGGACTGCATCTCCTCACGATGCTCCACTGTCTTGTGGATCAGGCCTTTAGGTCAGAGGCTCCGGTTGTGTTCCACTAAGAAATCATCTGCTTCAGTTTGGGCACCTGGGCAGTATCAAAGCCCTCACACAAATCAAATGAGATTGAAGAAAATCTGGGAGTCAACTCAACAACTATCAACTAACACCAAAGTCAGAATTTTCAATACAAATGTCAAGACAGCTCAGATGTATGGGGTGGAAACTTGGAGAACTACAAAAGTCATCATCCAGAAGATACAGGTGTTTATTAACAGTTGTCTACTCAAGATACTTCGGATCCGTTGGCCATACACTATCAGCAACAAGTTACTGTGGGAGACAACAAACCAGATTCCAGCGGAGGAAGAAATCAGGAAGAAGTTCTGGATAAAAGTGGATTGAGCACACGTTGAGGAAATCACCTAATTGTGTCACAAGACAGGCCCTCACATGGAATCCTGAAGGCCTAAGGAGAAGAGGAAGACCAAAGAACACATTACTCTGAGAAATGGAGACAGATATGAGAAGAATGAACAAAAATTCAATAGAACTAGAAAGGAAGACTCAGGACAGATTGGGTTGGAAAATGCTGGTCGGCGGCCTATGCTCCATTGGGAGTAACAGGCGTAAGTAAGTAGGTAATTAATATCAATTGTATACAGTTCTGTATACAAGATCTTTTTGTTTATCATAATAAGGGCGAATTCTTATCACATTTAAATAAACCAATTATAAGAGATGGATGATATCAACTTGGAGAATATGCATCTTGCTTTTCTTTCTTTTCCTTTGTTTGTGCCCAAATCGAAGTAGGTGATTTTCTTAGGGGGACACACCTTGAGCTTTTGGCCTGATCGTCTAATCTACAAGGTAGTGGTGCCGTGTAGGAGATACAGTCTCATGGTAGTTAGTAAAAGAGAATAGGTTTATACGTTTTTAATTCACTCAAGATTGTGGAGCACATGTGCACCATTGGTTTGATATCAGGGTTTTCTAACTCCTCTAGGTTGATTCTTCGTTTCCATCGACCTGGTTAAAGAGCCGGACATTTGTTTTTCGTCGTCTCTCACGCCGCGAGAAGGTAGTGAATAGAACTTCATTTACAGTGGTTGTATGCACGTGGCTATGTGAGAGTATTGCGAGAGAGATAGATATGGCTCTTCCCAGCCTCTACCGTATCAAAGCGTTTATGGGGTTAGATGGGTGGTGGCTATCAGTACAATTCAGGAAGGCCGTTTCGTTCTATTTGAGACTCATTGACTGAATGTGCCTGTATCCTTGAATGAACCCCATAGTGAACATAAACTTTGGGATGCAAGTATGTCCAGTTGACGAGTTTCAAATAAGACTAAACGCACATCCTGCATTCCTCTGTTAGTCACTATACATCTTTGCTTATAATGTACTTTAAATCAAATTTTAAAGTTTTTTACTCACACTTTTTAGAGAATGATATTGTAGTGAACACGAATGGGGACAATCGAATGTATTTGACGTCAAAAATTAAAGACTATCTCATTAAAATCTGACAACCATAAACTAAACAGTTAATTTGTAAACAATCAATCAATTGTCTCAATCTTCACTATTCCTTCTGCAAATACCAGTCCATCATCTCTGATTTCATTGTTCATATATTTTCATACTAATTACGTTTCGTTCCCGTTCTTTCATTATTGATCTTTAACTGAAATACATTCTATATCTGACCATTGCTATATACTACTTATATGGCTATAAGTAGACCACACGACAATAGTAATTTAGTGTTCATTGACGGTAGAACTAACCATAAGACTAGGCTAATAATAATCATTCAGAAAAAAATTTTCGTTGCCTAAGGCTAAATTTAAAAGTAACTTTCATCTTAATTCTCATTTTGAAGAGAAAAAAAAACTGTAAGGAATACGTTGATCTACTTCTCAGAATAATCAATAATTGATCCAAAAACTGTTTTTACCGATCATAATAGGAAATGATGGTGTAAAACAAACAAACAAACACCAGATACCCATTCATAGTGATTCTTATTTTATATATAATAAACGAATGTACAACCACATCTGTTGAGAGATAATAACCCACTGAAAACAATTGGTGAACGGTTGCTCAACTATCGTGGATTGGTTGAAGTCAGACATTAACACCGTTGGATACCGGCCGGCTCAGTGGTCTATCGGATAAGTGCTCTGGCTCGAGACTGGTAGTTCCTGGGTTCGAATCTCGCGAAGCGGGATCATGAATGCGCACTGCTGGGCAGTCCTACAATAAAACGAAACGGCTGTCTATTGCTTCCAGGTTTTCCATGGTTGTCTAACTTTAATTGACT